CTGCACGCCATGATGAATTATTGAAGCATTCTTCAAAGCCATGTTGAACCCAATCATTCACATCATCACGGCATAGCCATGACCAGACATCATACAGTCTTTGGGCGCACAGTCATCTTGCTCTGTGCCAATCTTTAGGTAACTGAAAAAATCAAAACGCACAATACTTCAACAAATCAGATCACAATGTGAAGTTTGGCGATATAACCTTCACGCATGAATTAGGCTTCCCCACAGACTCTAGGTATGCCCCCGTATTGCTGATCTGTTTCTTTTTGCATTCTAATCAGAATTTTATTTCGGATAGCAAAACATAAACACGTGAGTTTGGCTATGAAGATTATCTTGCACTTCAGGTATATCGATGATCTGACATCGTTCAATTAAGGACAAAAGCAATAGCAATTTTCCTTCCACTGATCTGACCAACTGAACTTCAGATCAAAAAGATCAGTAAAACCTCAACATCTGTTTCAGATTTTGATCGATGTATGACGATTCAGAGTGAAGTAAACTCTCTACGAGTGTGTATGGAGTGATGGGTGGCTTCAACTTTCCAGTGGGCATACTTTCCCTTAATGTTAAGTAGTAATTGTTGAGTCATAATCGGTTATTACCTTTCTATGGGGACTTCAAAGCGTGTGGTACGAATCCTGCCAAAATGCTGTCTGAACAGGGTTACATCTTTCAAAAACTGTAATGGAAGACGTGTGGAGGAAACTTTGAAACATTTGACCCATCAGTGACCAAACTTTGTCCCACGCAATTCCCGCTTTTCATTTTCCATATCTGTACATTCATTTTGTCGTTCATATATGTCATATTATATACATAGATCGTCAGTGTAAGAGCATACCCAGTCTTGACTGTCCTCAAAAACATATTCCGTTTGCTGTAAAGGAAAATGAGCCGCGAAATCTATATGGTTGGATCACTGTAAATCAGTAATGATACCATAAGCCAAGGATATTCTGCCCTACCGGTAGAACCCGCCTTTCACAAATTTGCCTTAAATATGAAGTATTTTTGCCTGACGTTGCACAGGTTACACAACACCAAATGTTTCCCATAGACTTCTATAGTAACCTTTTATATTTTTTTAAAATTATCCAGGCTATCAACAGCCATTCCAGGTACACATGGGTACAGTCAGGCCTATAATCTACAATAAAACACAATTTCTGGCCAAATTGTCAGGCTCATTTTCCGAGCACAGGAAGTGAAACACATCAACCCCAGTTCCGCACCAAATGTCACCTACTGGAAAATATCTGTACACACAATAAGCATAAGTGATGGTGTTAAAATGACAGCACTAAATACTTAAAATTGTGGTCAGCTTTAATAACTGGATGGATGTGCTTTTAAAAAGCATAAACATCTCACACTATGTCATCCAATCGAAGCTGTCACATGTCTCTGTCTCTTCAGTTGTTTACATACGGTGCTCGCCCAGGGAGCATGTGATTCTGATTTAGTGTAGTGGAACCCACAGCAGTGCTGCTGCCAAGGAGAGACGCACTGAAAACGTACATACTGCCAGGTTACACATCGTTGTCACCCACTGTAACCACCATTTGATCATTTGGCTTCTTTTGGGCATTCCTACCACCTAAACCCAACGGGTCATCTCCACCAATATGGGAACAGGAACTAGATTCACTTGTTTCACTTATTCTCGTGACTATTGTAATACGTATACGAAATGAATACGTAAATACTTAGAATGCCGGATATACTACCAAACAATTTCAAACGACACCACGAGTGCATTGCAATCCTAAAATTAGATGTACCAGCTACCATCCACTGTGTGGGAGTTTTAAAAAAGAATCACAAAACCCATGTCGTGATGAAGTCACATCATAAAAATCGGGGTGGTAGAATACTGTCATAAAACATTATAACAGTAACACAAGTGTAGCGATATAAAGAGAGATATTAGACTGCAGAGGGATGAAACTGACAAAACTATTAACTATTGGAGTTAACGATAACAGACTGGTCAACATATTCAGGGAGATTCTGTAGCTGTGTGCAGATCCCGTGGGGATCTGCTTGTCTTCTGCATGTCTCGTTAGATTCGTCTTACAGCAACAGTTTCATTTGATATTCATCATTGAGTGCAAGTTATTCACAGATATGTTAGTCATGATCGAACTGAATATATCTAAGGATAACAATAAATTTGTTATTCTAATATATACGTCGTTTTCACGAATGTTGCATCATGAATAAAATGCATTAGATATAGGCTACGATTGATGTCACTGGAAAATCAGTATGGGAGAACATCAAATATCTCTTTATCAGTAGTAGAACGGTACACCAGGTTAGTGTGTGCACCTCGGTTAACATCATGTTTCTACTGAATAATATTATTTTTTTCCTCTTTGTTTTTTTGTAAACCTTGCTGACGCATATTCGATTTTTTTAAACATATTCTTTCATTTGTGGATAATGTAATTATATTTTTCATAAGTTTGCGATGTGATTCTGACGATGATAAGAACGTCTCTTTGGTTATGGCATTGGCGCCTCCGGAAATGAACCAACTATTTAATCAATACAATTTTACCACGTGAAAGTTCCCTCTTTGTGAGGCATACGAAGCTACCTCAGCGTCTACCACAGCACGACGACGACCGCAGCAACAACTCATCAATAACTGCAACACCCACTACTACAACATAGACGACAGAATCATAATTCAAAAACAATATGACTACCACGTCATTTAGAAAAGAAAGAAGATAAATTGTGATACCCCTTTTCCATATACATCAGAAAATGTGCGATTTTTAAATGACCACGTGTTCATGAATTTCTATCAAACAGTAATGATACCAGAGCTTTATGAAACGGCAAACGTAAGACCAACCCACCGGTACCCATAACATATATATGTAAAAGGCAAGTCAAGAACGTCAACCTGCCCAATTTTATAGCTAAAACACAACCACATGAATACAACACAACCACATAGCTACAACACAACCACTTGGTTACAACACAACCACATGGCTACAACACAACCACATGGCTACAACACAACCACATGGCTACAACACAACCACTTGGCTACAACACAACCACATGGCTACAACACAACCACATAGCTACAACACAACCACATGGCTACAACACAACCACATGGCTACAACACAACCACTTGGCTACAACACAACCACATGGCTACAACACAACCACTTGGCTACAACACAACCACATGGCTACAACACAACCACATGGCTACAACACAACCACAACACAACCCCATGGCTATAACACAACCACAACACAACCCCATGGCTATAACACAACCACATGAATACAACACAACCACTTGGCTACAACACAACCACATGGCTACAGCACAACCACATAGCTACAACACAACCACATGGCTACAACACAACCACATGGCTACAACACAATCACGTGGCTACAACACAACCACATAGCTACAACACAACCACATGGCTACAACACAACCACTTGGCTACAACACAACCACATGGCTACAACACAACCACATGGCTACAACACAACCACATGGCTACAACACAACCACATGGCGTCATGTACACAACTATAACCTGAGCAATTGCAGAGGCCATAACATTTCCGAGTCTCGTGCTGGGATTCGAACCGCGGACCTTCTGTTCTGAAGTCGGACGCCTTGTCCACATGACCAAAGAGATTAACTCCGTCAGCAAGCTGACAAGGTGAGGATGTAGTCCGTGGGATGACTCCACGCCCTGCTACATACTCCCCCGTCAACAGAAGGCACGTCCCGAGCAGCATAGCAGCGTACTGACACAAATTTCATATGATCGTGCTCAGCCTCTGCTGGATCCCTCCATGCCCTGCTACACAATTAAAATACACAACTGCAACCCGATCAACAAATAATGGCTGTTACGGGCAGGTTGATACACGTATTTTCTGACTCACCAAGTGCAGAATAAGCCATTTCTGTCACTTACCGCTATCGGTTTATTTAGTGCGTGTACAAAGTGTCTGACTTTTGTTGAATATGCGCCAAACGAGGCCCAGTGCCTCGTCCCAAGAGTGGTCTTAGAGCGACGGTGATCGGTTCTCCCATATGTTACCATCGGCTTACGATAGAGGCGCTAACATCACTTTGTGAACATAATCCTGATCGTCATTTGGTCACACAGAGTACATTTACAGGTTGACTGATACTTGGTGGACTGTTTGTTTGTTTGTTTGTTTGTTTGCATCAGATACAGGTGCTGCACGAGCATTCCGTGTAACGGTACCATTAAGATATATTCATGTTACATAAGATACAGTAAATAACTCAGTTAAGTACGCACTGTTGGTAAACATGACAGTTTTGTCAGCCTATTTATCGCTAGTGTATATATGTTTTGTAAGGCAGATAACTGATAAACTCTTTCAAAGTCCTTTCTGAAAACTTTCAATACGCTAGTTGTATGTGTTCAGTACAAGGTTTAACAAAAAGGTTAATCAAACACGAGCGCTTGCGAGTTCAATTTTCACTTCACAATGAAAACAAAACAGGATATTATTAATAAAAACTGTGTAGTAGAAACACGACACTGTGTAAACACCACGGCAGAATTGGTTAACAAATTGTAACATGTCACCAACGGCTAGTTTCCTATTTAATCAAATCAGCCATTTTTATATCTCCTATTCAAAAACACAAACATAACAACCAATCCAATCACGCTGTCTTCAGAACAAAAACCATCGAATGAAATGTTTGTAAAAATCAATACAGAAAACAGGTAGAAAAGGCACCAAGATCCTCACTGTATATTGCAATTACAATCTGAATTACAGTCAGTACGCATTTTAACTCCCTCAATGCATACCGTTTCGTGTTCGCACATATAACGGTAGTCGGCGCTGTGACAGCTGCTTACTCTCACGTCCCTCGGCCCGTGTGCGATCGGTCCTCTGCTCACCATTCCGCAGTCCCGAGTTCATTGTCATGGAAAGCACAGCGCGCTCGGTCGGCTGGTAAGAACGCTGATCGAAACTCTATCAAACCAGCTGAGGGAGGGGGAGTATTTTCAGAACTCATTGGCGTTTTAATACGTTAGAACGTCGTGATAAAAGAATCGAAAACAAACATTCGGTGGATTAATCAAGAGGACAAACTATTTTCGTATTGACTCAAGACATCCCAATCGTCGTTTCTGTCCCTGCAATGCGGTTTCGTTCAAGTTCTGACGGTTTTGGTGGGTGTGGAAACTTATGAACAAGTTATTGATCGCTTGCACGGAAGGTTTTTCACTTGTCTCACGTTCAAGGTGGTGTCTTGAAGTCAGATTGAAGAAGCTTGCGGGAACGATTTTTCTCTGCTTTCTGAAGGATAAGTCTAAAGTTACAAGTTCTGTCAGTGTGGGGTATCGTCAAATGTGATTCGGGGTTGTTCTCCGGAGAAATTCTTGAGTGGGAATTCTTGTTATGAAACAACGTTGTTTGTGTCAACAGCTGATACGTTAGGTTGTTGTGTGGAAACACCAGCTCTTTCACAATGGATAACAGGGCACGGGATTTTGCCAGGCTCAACTTCTCAAGTAAGTACATGTACCAGATTTAGAATCTAGAGACACTCGATCACCTCACAGTCACTGGAAAAAATGTTATGTGATGTCTGAACAAAGTGTTCGCGAGCGTCAGTGCGTGAGAGAGAGAAAGAGAAGGTAGGGAGAACGAGAGAAAGAGAGAGAGAAATACTATCGAGAGAGAGGACGAAGACTATCGTATTTAATGTGTGTGTGTGAGAGAGAAAGAGAAAAAAAGAGAAAGAGACTATCGCTCGCTTTTTAATGTGTGTGCGCAGGTAAGAACGTTTATTCTCTCACTTCAATGTTTTAAGTGACCCCCCCCCTAATGTCTCATATATATTCCTCAAAACCTTATTCGTCAAGTGGCTTCGACATAAATGCACCTTTCTCTGATCACAAATTTTAAGGCATCAAAATGAGATGTCAAAGGCGTCAATGAGATGTGAAAACACAACCCACATAATGAGGGTATTCGCTTACCCCTCTTTATTTGCCAACAAATTAAACCTGGGTTTAACCTGCTCTTATATGGTTTATTCTGACATATGGTAATCTTGAAATAATAAAAGATCTAAAGGTGACGAGGCACATACTAGACACTCACAACCCAGACACACACATCTATACAAAACCTACATTCTGTCTACGATGCATATCAGTCTAGCAGGATATAAGTGTCCTTACAACCACAAGAAAATATCTCAGTTTCACCGCTGGCACTACAATGTCTGGCCTGGATGTTTTGTCCAGAAAATTGGTTCATCTCCACTGTCCTTAAGTTTCATTCATCTTTGTGACGCCAGACCGTCGGAAAGTAATATCACAATCCAAACCGGACCAAGATATATGACACCTATATTCATTTTCAAGAACCTTGCTGTTTTGTATTTCACAAACAGCCGCCTCAACCCTTTACCTCGACCCATGTTCAAATGAATTTTACACTTCAGACAAGCAATTTCCTTAGAGCAATATGACATCGTCTAGCAATGATTATAAGGACCTTCATATGTAAATGTTACACCAAGAAAACCCCAGTAGAAACAGTTGTTATCAACGAATCATGAATAAAAGATAAGAAATATAGTACAGGGATCGTTACATTGGATGCAGGACCGTGGTGGTAGTGTTTAGATAGTACAGAGTTTAGTAGGAATAAACGAATATTTGTATGGTTTTAGTAGGTTCATCACAAAGACTACTTTCGCATTCGTGAAGACGTTCTTAAGCCTCCTTTGGCCAGGAATAGATAGTTTTTTGGGGAATACATACATACGAATTCTGACAGACAGGAATACACGCCTGTGTCCATTATCAAGCGGATTTTGAGACAGTTGTTAATTGTTGAGACTGCTAAATATTTGTTCCGAAATGTATTCGTGAACAAAATGACGAATAAATGCGTGATGGTCCCACTTTAAAGCTGGGGACAATAATGACAAAATGTAATTGGAATAATTGAAAATTGATGATGTCGAACGAGATTCCTGCATTCTAAATTAGTGCTTGTCCGCTGGCCTGAGGCTAGTAATCCGTGCTGAGGGAAATTACAAATCCATTGATAGCAGTCATTATTGACCAAAGCCATTGGAGTACTCTACATCTTAGCCAGTTCTCGGTGCTTCGAGTTTGCAACAAATTGGAACTGAAGAGAACTGACAGAAAATATAAACATGTTTGTCTGTGCAAGCAAACCTAGCTACAAACTGCCAGAAAATCAGGTTTCAACAGGTCCTCTGGGCTAGTCCTTACAAACCGAATTACTAAGGCAGAATTTCGTTCAAATAGAGTGTCGGAGATGAATAAGACTTTTGTGAAGGTTTGGTTTCAATACCACCTTCGAAAATGGATGGTCATGCTACGAAGACGTTGTTCATCAGAGCCCGGGCGCCTGCCCTGATAGTATCCACTGACAGGGTTTCGAAACAAGCCCATAATGCGTCAGTGGTTTGTCGGTATCATGCCTGTGATCCTGAGTTTCACAGTGGAAAATCGCTGGACTTCTTTCTTCCCGGAATCGGACCGCCTCCGTGGTGTAGTGGTTAGAGCGTCCGCACGGAGAGCGGAAGGTCGCGGGTTCGATCCCCGACCGCGTCATACCAAAAGACGTTCAAATATGGTACTTGTTGGTCCCTACCTGGTGCTCGGCATTAATGGGTACAACAAGGACTGGTCGGCTCGGAGTCAGTATAATGTGTCTGAGTGGGGTATTCATGCTTCACTGCGGCATGGTATCTCAGTGAGCTAGCACTATAAAACCAGCTTAAGTCTGGGCTAGTACAAGCAGCCGCACATACACATACACACGCATGCACGTCGTCATTTGAGCGAAATATTCTCAAGCACGACGTAAAAACCCAATTTCACCTCACCTCTTCCCGGAATCATACAACGAAATCTGTTTCATCTGATGATCGAGACTGGTTAATCCTTATTTTTTGCCTCTTTTATGTAAATCATTCGACTCTTTACCATCATATATAATGCAGTTTTACATGTACACTTTAATCATTGGGGCGTTGGGGTAACCTAGTGGTTAAAGCGTTCGCTCGTCACGCCGAAGATCCGGGTTTGATTCCCCGTATGGGTACAATGTGTAAAACCCATTTCTGGTGTCCCCTCGCTGTGGTATTGTTCTAATATTGCTATAAACGACGTACAAATAAACTCACTCACTCACATTAATCATTGCTATCATTTATCCAAAACCTACACCCCACCCCATACAACACACACACACACATCACACCACACCACACCACACCACACCACACCACACCACACCACACCACATCACACCACACCACACCCCATCAAACAACACCACACCACACCACACCACACCACACCACACCACACCATCCAACACTCCCCGTCAGGTTACGCCCTGCGGCATGGAACCATCAGTGCTGAATAATGATCCTACATTTCGTGTTAAAGCAGTATTATTTCTCAGAACAAAAAGTGCATCAATCAGAATTTGCATTAAAAATGCACATCTCACCAGTGGCAATGACGCCCATCGGATACCATCTACAACTGAAATGAAATTTTCACTGTTCTCAGACACTTTACTTCAAAGGGTCACAAATAACGTGACCTCCCTTCTAATATAAAGACTCTGATCCTGGAACGTGCAATGCGTCTTTGCATAATTCAGCCCTCAGAGTCAGTAGTGTTCAATATCGGTCTACTGCCCAACGGCTTGGGGAGTACCGGTCATATCTCGCACCGAGTCAGATCGTCTCGGTCAGGGAAAACTAATAAGCGAGTATGGCAACCTTTGTGAAATGGGATTGATATTTCCCATTTTGCATAGCATACAGCCCGACTGTCATGAAATTTGAAACAGATACTCCAACATAAGGGATGTGACATATGATATGGCGTAAATGCTGCATTTCATGGAAGCAGAAACATCTTCTTCCATTAGTGAAACCTAAAAAATGTGATGGTCAAGGATTTCTCTTCTAAAATGTATTAATATTTTTACACCACACTCCGCAATATTCCAGCTACATTGCTGTGGGGTTGTATTAACCCAGTCGGACCACACAATCCAATGATTCATATAATAGGAATCGTCCACGCAGTTAGGAGGTAATGACACATTTCAAATCGACGGCAGGTTGCGTCGCTTATACACCTCCGGTCTTAAGAATACATCGCTAAAAGAAATTTAGCAAACAGGCTCTGTTTCAGGACTCACCTCAGCCTGGTACCATTGTTATGGAGGCTTTGTAAGTCAGCCATTTAATGCAAATCTACCAATTCCCAAATTGTTTTGGTCACTAAATAACTGAAATGTTGTGAATGGTGGAAGCTGCCGGAAGGGCAGGACATGCTTACCCTTTTCGTAAACACCCGGTGTCATCACTGATTTTCAGTGATCCAATCATATCATTTTCTCAGCCATTTTGCCCTTTACACAAAGCGGAATTCATTCTAAGGATAGGCAGGACTGAGTATTCGCTTGCACCGACGTTCCATATCTAATTCCAAATAGGAACAATACATAAATTACATCCATTTAGTAGCTTGTAAATGTCTTAATAATGGAACGATCTTAACAGACTTGTTTTCAAGATGTCAGATGTCAAGACTGCTATAACTCGTGAAGATCCGAGTTAGAATTGGTCTTCAGTAACCCATGCTTGTCATAAGATGCGACTGACGATATCGGGTGGTCAGGTTCGCTGATTTGGTTGACCCACATGTCATCGGTTCCAAATTGCGAAGATAGATGCTCATGCTGTTGAACATTGGATTGTCTTGTCTAGATTCGATTATTTACAGACCGCCGCCATAGAGCTGGAATACTGAGTTACAGAATTTATTGTCTGAAGTCACACATTCGAAGAAGATATATGTATTAATATTTATCAACATGTATAGTTATGATAATTTGTGAATATTAATAAAATATCATAAAATGCCATATAAATGCCAGCCTGATATCATCAGTAGCCTCCCCTTTTGGGACGTGCCATTTCCAGGAAAGTTATTTCACTAATATACATGACCCCTTTCCTAAACGAAGATGCAAATGGCTCATTACGAACTGTTAGCATCAGTCATGTGTCCAATCTATCACCAAAATGCCATGTTTCCAAGTGATTGTAACATCACAGACTCCTCCGTGAACGCTGGCCGTCATTATCACGACGCCAACGTCAGAAAACACACGTTCTTCTTCTTACGACGTTGCCGACCACGGATTTTAGTTTTTGTTTACTTCGGCGTCCAATTACAGCAATCTATTGAATCTGGTCGTTACATCTATCTGTTATATCCAATTCCCATCTCAGGCCTGGCGTTTTTATTCTACTAAATTAGAAGAGGCAGGCAACAATTGATCTAACAGAAATATCAGTCGAATGTAGGGTGCTAGCTTGGGCTGTATATCAAGCACAGAGGAGGCAGATGTTTCTACGCAAGTCACTGTGAAGACAGCTTCGTTGTTCCAGTGGCAATATGTTGCTAGCGTATAGAGAATGATAGATTTTCTC